TGATAAAGATTTTATAATTAAGTGAACTATTAAACTGTATTATTTTATTATCTCGATTTCTTTTATTACATTTTTTATTGAGAAATCAACTTCTTTCATAACACTGCATATTTGGGGGTCAATGAAATCCGACTCCTACTTTCACTAAAAATATACAGGGTGTTCCATTTAAAGATATGCAAACTCAATTGTTAGCGTTTTTCTGAGACAAAAACGAACCATTCGAAGAAACTCAACTTCATTTGATAATACTTGTCTTAGATAAAAAGCATTGCATGCAAGTCTATTGGATACTACAACTTTTGTGTAAAACTTTTTTCTTTAAACTCACTTACAAATAAGTTAGAGGGAGTCAATTTAACGTTTCTGTACTTACCTACGAACTATTAACTATTTTATAGCCACCTAAACAGTAAAAGATAAATGTTGGAAATATTTGAAACCTGATAATACTTGCATAATTTTTACAGAAAATATTCCATGATCGCAAATATTTCTTACCGATTTAATCAGTTGTGATCCATATCGGTATTGGTTTTTTCTAGGTACTGGTTTTAGAAATAATATATTTAAAGTTAGGATCCCAAAGAACGAAGTAAGATCACTTGAGTTTTTTAAACTTCAGACATTACGCTTATCTTCAAAACCGTTCGGTTGGGTGGGATGATTATGAACCAGCAATGCCTAATCTTAGTGCGATCATAAACAGGCCAAAATATTTTCTGCAATATAATGAAAAACACTTCCATCACTCATTCTGATATGGAGCATATATTGTTTCGAATCCATACCGCTTATTGATAGTTATTGTATACAACGTCCTGTGCACAATAAGATTTGACGCTCATACTCAAGAGATGTATCAATATAAGACAGCACAAAGTGTCATCTGTTAACAGAATCGAATACTGCGAGAGTGTTAACAGCAAGCTGTTGGAACTGTTTCTCATTTCCCAGTGCTGAGAGTTGCCAAATAGCACGAAACAGTTGTCCATGGTTGGCCGTCTGTGGTCGGCCGGACGAAATCCATATTACTAGTTTGTTCAATGGTAAGTATACCGTATCTACTACAGCGCCAGAATCTGCAGCATTCAGCGGCGACAGTGGATGCGAACTGAGATACAGTCCCAACAGACAGCTGCTGTTTTCACTCTCGCTGTGGCCAATTCTAGTAATAATGCGGTCCTACTTTGATAAACATTATACATTGGATATACGACAGTTGCGCAACGTTTGTTCGTTGTCCTACCTGAGACGAAGCCAAGGCCATGCTGACGAATTGCCAAATAGCACGAAATAGCTATCCATTGTTGGCCGTCTGTGGTCGGACGATTACCGAAGCTATTAGCTGTATAGCTATTTAATTTGAGGCGCATTAAAGCTTTTTAGATTTGGCAATCGCAAATTCCGCATACGTAAACTTTACAGTTAATCTTACTTGAAATTTAATCTACGACCCATATGTGACGACAGTCAAATACGGTTCACGTCCTTTCCGTATGTGGTATTTGCAATCATTAAAATTCTCTATTATAGTAAAAAATAATCGTGTCTTAATGTTACATGTGGTGTTAGTGGTGTTTTTTTAAGTAGTAGCCGAAGCTGACACACGGTACAGCTCGTCAAGTGTAGGAAGAGATATGAGGATTTGCTGGGATTGCGCACACGAGAGAGGGAGAATGCATTCGGAGCAAAAGAGACGTACAATACGTGCCATTCGATCTCGAGTGGTACAGTATGCATCCTAAATGAATCGGATAATTTCAATAATCGGATACGTATTATGTGAAGCCTCCTTTTTTTAATTGAAATTGTTGGCATATGTTAAAAGGAAACCAAAACAATTTATTCCATAAAATAAGTATTGCACTCTATGTAGCTATAAGACTGAAATTGATTGGTACTCATTCTATTTTTAATTGTTAGTAATTTCAATTCATTATAGATCGACAAAACAATCCTCTATCAAAGTCGTCGAAATCGGATTTCGGAGTGGCTCTTCGTCTTTTTTTTGTTTCGTGTCGAAAAAGACGTCGAAGCACCTTCTTCAACAGATTTCATTTCGCTAGAAATCCTCCTAATAGTCGATAGACTAACTGCCGTGGCTATGGCTATGGCTGCATGCTCGTGTACTTTCTTCAAATCTTTAAGAGGCTTAGGTATTTCCTTCTGCTTCTCGTTGCATAAAGAATATAACATTTGCAACAACCTCCCTAGTTTATCCTGATAAAACTTTACATTGTAATTTGGATTCAAAATCCATTATAAACAAGTAGGTAAATCTCTTAGCACACCAAGGACTAAAAGTCGACAATTAATAGCGTAAAACTGTATGTATTCAACCCACGAATTTGTAAAAATACATACAATTCACAGATAATAAGTAAAAAAGTTTTTTCACGGCCTGACGGTTCTTCTCCTTACTGTACGCTAACTAGTCTAGACACGACAAGAGACTACTGCCTAGTCCAGCGAATTGAGCCGCTAGCTACTGCGCACCGAGAAGGCGTGACATTAAAAAATTCGCATCTCTTCCTACACTTGACTGGCTGTACATTATGTTATACATAAGTGCCAATTGAATATTGCGCCACCGTTTTTAAGGCCTATCGTATCGCATCCTAGTTTTATTCATCAGTGTCATCCAGTAAATACGAAGGTTTTTTGTACCCTGAAGGTATAAAAATTTTAAGTCGAGCGCATCTTTGGAATTTTTGTATTTTAAACTTTCGACATTTGTTTAGTAATCACTATTTCTTTGCAAGGCCAAAGTCCAAATAGGAACATCGCATTTTTATCCAAAATCATCCATTTTCGAATATTTAGCCTACAAGCCCTAACACAAAATAGTTCGGACATTATCTAATTTTATGTTAAAGCTTGTTTAATTTTTTATAGTTACAAAATATTTTTTTCTTTTACAATAAATTGAAATATATTGTTTGGACATCATATTAACAAAACTATTATCAAGTAATACGATATTAAACTATAAAACTAAACTAATATTGACAACAACAATATTTGGCGGACCCATAAATGCTCGGACGAACCATTTCAACGTCTCGTTTCGTCACCCTTTCCCTTAATAACAGCATTAATTCTGGCTTGCATAGTTTTGACAAGTTTTTCGCAGTCTCCCGCCTTAAAAGAATCCCATATATTTTGTAATTTTACTCGTAAATTGAAAATGTTTCATTGTGGATCATTGCTTAACTGCTGCTTCATTTTATTCCATACCGTTTCGATAATGTTTAAATCAGGTCTACTGGAAGGCTAGTCAAGGACGGAAATATAATCATCCTGCAACCATTTTTCGTGGTTTTGGTCTCACCACCTTGTTGGATAATAAAGTTTCTATCAGGTGATAAAATTGGTATTGACACTAGAAAATTGGTTTCAAGGATATTTTGATATTTATCTGCGTTTACAGTTCCGTCCATGAAGTGAAGTTTTCTAACGCCAAAAGCAGATATGCTTCCCTATACCATTAAACTTGATGGAAACTTTCTTTTTTCTTTAGGCAGGCTTTATGAAACGCTTCATTTTTGTTTCTTATAAGCCGGGATCGTTGGTCACCGACACAAACATCAAACATCGATTCATCGCAAAAAGGATCTTCTTCCAGTCTTCTTAAATCCACATTGCCAGTTCCTTAGCCCACACTTGTTCTTTTGTTTTTTCGTAAGCAACGCCTTCTCTTTTTCCTAAAGCAAATCTTTTACTGAATAAATATGCCATATGTCTTTTAAGTGCTACCTACCTACCTTATACAAATATAAACCAGACTTGTGAATCCACTGAGGGCACGTTTTTCGTGAAACATTTCTTGCTGTTACTTCATTCCATTTTGCTGTTATGTCCCTTACAGTACCTCGGTGACCAGCTTTACAAATACGAACAAGAGATTTGTGCATTGCAGAACTGATCCTACGTTACCTACCAATATGGTGTCTTGAATCCATACCATACCTTTTTTACAATATCTGCCACCATAGACATTGGGACATTCATTTGTTTAGCAGTATCTCGAAAACTCTTTCCTTGATGAACCATTTTATGATTAAAACTCTGATTGCTCCGTTTGTTGCATTTTAAAGCAAACTGATACACAGAATAGATTCTTAAATCACAGCGTCAAATTGTTTCGATGGCCTGCTATTATTTTCTTTTTAATGTCGAGTTCGGACATTTACTCGTATGTGTCAGCAAAATGTTGCGTTGTTATCAATATTAGTTTGATTTTATATTTCAATATCACATTACTTGAAATCAGTTTTGTTAATATAATGATCGAACAATATATTTCAATGTCTTATAAAAGAAAAACAATGAATTTTTAACCTTTTAGATAAAATTATATAATGTCCGAACATGTTTGTGTTAGGGCTCGTATTTACATATGAGCACACGATCGCAACACTACTTCAAATATGTAAAAAAGTACTTGAGACACAAAACATACTTACAAATGAGAGTGTTGCCGTTGCGCCATTGCGCTCACAATAAGAACAAAATTATGGTTATGCATTCATTTGTTTAAACTTTTGTTTTTATTGTGAGCGCAAAAACGCAACACTTTCATTCTCATACAGCGTGTTTCGTTGAAAGAGGGGAATATTTCAACCGTGGATAGAGGCCACTCTATATTTTGTGATATTCGATAATTGACGAGCTTTAAACAAAAATCCCAAAACCGCGAACGTTGGGCTTTTAAATAACTATCAAGTATTAAAGTGGAAATGTAAAAGTTTAAAGCATATATGTTATATACGTATATTGTATATCTGCACGCAAAAATGTTCATGTATGTGATCGACTTAAAATTTCAGTTATTTCTAGGGCCCCTTTGTGGATCTACTACTGTTCGAAAATTGTTTGTTTGATTCAGCCGCTGTAAACGCATCTTGATATATATACGTAGTTGGTAGTGTTGCTGTAACGAGTTACTCGATATCGGTGAATTACAGGATTAACGCCCTACTTTTCTTTGTTTTCAGTGATGAACAACTACCAGGCGGCGGCCGCAGCAGCAGCGCAAGGCTTCGGCCCACCGCCGGCCAGCCCGCACGCGGCAGCTGCAGCGGCGGCAGCTGCAGCGGGAGGCCGACCGACTACCGGAGCGGCCGGGGGCGGTTTTCCCGCCGCCAACTCTCCCGGCCCCACCCAGGCCAGCATCGAGATGTACAACGGATCCGCGGCAGCTGCGGCGGCTGCAGCTGCAGCGGCACAAGCTGCGGCAGACAGCGGCGTCGGATACGTGCAGGCGGCCAGCCCGCAGCCGAACACCTTTCCGGCCATCGCTGTCAGTCGGGCGCCCCTGAATTATAGTCCGGTGAGTAGACTAAGTCCGTTTATAGCGTTTATCAGATGCAATCGATATCGTATATTCGAACTGCGAATATCGACAGAGCGATTATTCACTAAAATTTATATATGGTTTGTTTGTACAGCCTGTTTGCTGACAATCAGGAAACTGATAGTCGGCGACATGTAATGACCTAGTTTACGCAGTTAGCTGTCACTGACACGTCGCTGACTGTATTAATTGAGCCGTTGAAAGCCAGGATGGTCCAAGTCCAAATTTTCAGATATGTGTATACTGTTCTGGATGGATGAATCTTTGTCTGGAAGAGTTTTGAAAAATGTATCTTTTCGTTTTGCACACAGATGGCACCAGTCTGTTTTTATATGTCAATGGAAAGCTGTAACCGTTATGAGGCAGAATGGGACAAGTGTGACTTAACTTTACTTTACTTTGAATAGTAGTGTCAAGCGGGCAAAAAATACCATCAAGTACGTGCCAGAAGACTGGTATACAACAATAAGAACATGCAGACCCAGGAAACCCTTTTACGTCTGTGAGACGGAACGGTCTGATTTTTTCTCATCAACAACATTATAGAAAGCTGTAACAAGACGAAAGAAAAATGGTACTAATGACACTGTATCATGGCTACAGATCCAGTGGCTACACTTTGAGAAAAAAGAACCTTACACATTTTTTTATAAAGAAACTTTGAAAATCGAAAAGGCGCACCCAAAAACTTCAAAAATATGAACCTATCTCCTTTGTATGAATCCCCTCTTCCTGTCAACGACAAAAAGAATAAAAACATGAAAGAGCTTCTCCAATTCATACCACCAGTTCATCACAGTTTTTTTAAGAATCTGAAGACAGATGCAACTTTGCCAGATACCGGACCACTGCGTGTTACTGAAGAAGAAGGAGGAGAAGGCGAACAGACTCGAGAATTTCCAGAAATTCCATAAGGTCGTGTCAGTACAGTACAGTTGTTGTGTAGAAAATATACATTATTTTTTTACTGTATGGAGATTGATTTCTGTCGTTTTGTAATAAAAGTATCAATTCACATAATGTTGTGTAACTCTACTTTACTATAATCGTTATACAAGTATGAAACCAAAGGTAAGAACCGTTTTAAGGCAGAGTGGGCTAAAGCTTAAACATATGAAAAAAAACCCATGAACACAAAATGTTCATGTATTTTATGATAAGATACTTAAATTGATTCTACCTTTAAGGGTATTTTGATTTCTTACTGCAGTTTTATTATTCTACATTTATCAGCCGCATCTAAACTTTAAAGCCTTAAATCTCCGAAACGTCTTTTTGTGACTTGGACCATCCTGGCTTTCAATGGCTCAATTGCGTACATGAGGACGTGATGAGTTGGCTGAGAGAGGTCAGACCGATTACCGACAACTTATCCGCTGTTCGTACAGAAACTTCTGACTGTTTGTCAGAATGCAGTAGATAATTTTGAAAAAGTTGGTTCATTTGCTGTAAGCCTTATCTAGGATTTTTCGTCCAACTGTCCAAATGTGCTCAAAGAGGAAAACATGGACATATATATATATATATATATATATATATATTGTAGCTATGTAAGTCCAACCTAAAGCTGATGAAAAAATAAACAAAATAACGTATTCTAGAGATTTTATGATACAGCTTTTTCTCACTGGTGCCCACGGAGAGGGAGTGACTGTTTGTGCTGGGGTGAAAATAATATTTTCCCTATACAGGATATTTTAAATTCGACCCTCACCATTAGGATCTCGGAAACTTCAATACGAAGTCACTTAAATAGGAGTAAAGTTGCGTATTCAGACAATCAGCAAAATGTCGCTTAGAAAGTTTTGAAATTGAAAGTACTTCCGGAAGAGCCGTAAAGAAACGAAATTTCTCAAAATGTCTTAGTTTTCTCCTGACCTTATTTGTGGTTGGATTTCAAAATAAATTGCACATGAACTCTGCCACATTTTCTCTTCTACAAGACGGCACAATTAGAATTTCAATATGACGTTTCGTCTCTTGTCCTACAGCATCAACTTAATTTTTTCTTATAGACGCCATATTGGATTCTTGCACACATGAATAGAATTTTTATTCTGATTTAAAAACATGTATGTCATACATTGACATTACAAAGCCTTAGTTATTCCAGAATTTCCTAGGTAGGCCTCGAAATTATTAGATTTCATTTGTTTGCATAGCAACAGAGTTTGGAAGACTGTGAATACCGCTGCTTATTTATGATTATTATTGTGATTACCATCAATAAAATTTTAATTTCGTATTCAGGTATCACCATATCTTTTTATCTCCTTTTAATTTTCATCCAACAACAAATTTATGGGCAACTAACATTCACTGAATTTAGGGCTTAAAAAGGTCTTTTAAATGTACAAAATTCCAATATAGCGTCCGTATGAAAAAACAAATTTGATGATGGAAGTCGAAAGAAGAAATGTCGAATTGCAAATTTGACTACGCCATCTTGCAGACGAGAATAAGTAACAATGACAATATGCAATTTATTTTGAAATCCCACCTCGAATAGAGTCGGGAAAAAATAAAGCGGTTTTGGGATAAATCTTTTGAGCGAAACAAACATCTGATAATTTCAAGGCCTACCTAAGAAATTCTGTTTTTATTAAAGTAATCAAGGTTTGACACAACGTCAATGTATGACGTATTGTGCATTTTTTAATCAAAATTAAAAACACTATTCCTCTGTGTAAGAATGCAATATAGCTTCCTTAAGAAATAATAAAGTTGATGCTGGAGGACAAGAGACGAACCGTCTTATAGAAATTCTGGTTATGCCTTCTTGTAGAGGAGAAAACGTGGCACTGTTAATGAGCAATTTATTTTAAAATACCAATATAAATGAAGTCAGGAAAAAATCAGAACAGTTTTGGGAAAATTCAGTTTTTCCGTTACTCTACGGAAGTACTTTCAGTTTCGAAACCTTCTAAGTGTCACTTTGTCACGTCTAAGCGACTTCGTATCCCTTACAGTTTCCAAGATCCCAATGGTCCCAATAACATCTTTGAATAATAAAGGGTGTCATACACTAAAAAGCTAAAACCGCTGAACATTACTGCAATTATCAAGATCTGCTTACATAGCTAGAAGTTTCACAGAGTTCTCAACATGGACAAAAAGAACTGGACTACGAGAATACATAGAAGTAAGGCTTAAATCGCGTAACTACGCATTTTGCAACTGTAACAAAAATTTTCAAAAGATTAGTAATCGCAAAAATCGTATTAATTATGGTTCTTGAAAGTTTTGTCCTCTATTATTCGGATTTTTCATACTGTATTCATAATCTTCATTTTGCCATTACCGGGACAATAAACAAAATATTGAGAACAAAGCACTTTGTCGCTGGCTGATATTTAAAATGGAATTTCATTAAAATTTCTTCCGCTACTTGCTCACCTAAAATTGTTACAAAAACTTGTTTCTGTAGAATTGTGGCACCGCGGCTGCTTTCAGGAGCTTAAAGAAACTTTGTTATTCCCATTTTTGAACTGCCTAAAGTTAGTAGAACTGGAAAAATCTCCTCATGTAGATTGTTACACGATCTCGACACCCTCGGCACAACGGAGCGGTCTTATCGGCCAGTTCTGGATTTACGAAGTTCGACACGTTTACGATGGGAGGCCGAAGTCAGGTAGCCACATTGTGGAGCGACACTATGGAAGGGAGCTGTGAGGAGCAAAGTCCGTTGGCATAGCTAGATCGCCAACGGCCGATTGGTACGAAGATGTCCTCAGATCGTCCATTTGAGAAAAGTTCATTAAATGCCTCTTGCGAAGCAATTTTAGCCCTCAAGATAGTTCCGACACACTCTGATGTATCAGAAGGTTCTGTACGAACAGCGGACTATCTGTCGGCAAACAGTCAGAAACTGTACGAACAGGTAATACCTCTCTGATTCTGATTTTGACAGTCACCGACAAGTTACCGACTACTGTACGAACAAACCATTAAACGCTTCTTTTTGTGACTCAATTCCACGGCTTCAATTCCAGTCTTGGAATCGATTCCTTTGATTCGTTTACGATTCTTTTTGACTTCAAATCCGATTTCCGCAATTCCAAAACTTACCATTGATATTAACGAGCGCTAAAAAGGAACGACACTGCAGTAGGAATCGAGACCTGAACTCGATGGATCCGATACCAGCACTTTAGCTTTCAACAAACTGATTGAAAAGCACGTTTATGTTAAGATTCGAGAACGATCTACCATCTGTGGTGCCCACAGGTTATGTGTACATTTTTCCGTTTCACGGGCATTGTAGCGTTAAAAAGATTGGTGTTGCTGCGAGGTATTAACCGCAATTGCTGGGGGTCAGTTGAAGCATTTGGAGCTTTCGTACAATTTCCATTATCCTTTTCTAAATTGTGTATAACGCCGTCCGTCACGATACAAAATTTTGTGCTAAATTTCGTACAAAATTATGTGATAAATTTCGTACAAAAATAAGGATAGATATTTAGTACATAATTTTGTATGAATGAATTTAGTGCTAAATTTTGGTAGAAACTGTTCTAAATGATATCCTACTAAAAGTGCGTAGACGACTACTGAAGCAGTACAATGGCTGATAAATCTCAAACACTTTTATTAGTTGATGTTATCAGTTGTGTTCATCAGTTTCGAGAAACTCCCCTGCGTATGCTGTTCTACTTATAGATTGAAAACTTAAAAGATGACATTACATTACTAAGCTAGTATGAGGAATATGATTGTTTATATGCTGTAAAAAAACAAGGCCTATAAAAACAGTAAAGCCAATTAAGCTGCGTTAAATCAGAATGATTTAAAAACCAATTAGGCTTATAGGCCAGTGGATCCTGCACTAGAAGTTATTTATTCAGCATATGGAGCACACACATGCCCTGGTTCCCCTACCTGATAAATTTTCGGCACGAAATTTTTTTTACGGTATCGTTTACTTCATTTTCCTATGAGGTGGGCAGCTACAACGCAGATCCCAGCTGCTGTAGTCG